ATAAATGGCATTGGGAACTATACACGGAGGACATCCTCTGTGCTTCTTGGAACATCACAGCCAAACAACTGTGAAGGGTGCTGTAGGCTTGTGAGTAGGCAAAAGGAACAAGCAGAGAGCCAAGAGTTAAACTGAATGGAAAAGGTACTTTGCTCAGCTGTTGAGAAACACTGAACACAAAGCCAGAACTAAGGAGGCAGACCAAACCAACTGGGCCAGTATTGGTTTCTGAACTAGCTGAAATTCAAAAAGATTTAACTTACAGTACACAAATCTGGAGCTCTGAGGATTATATCACAAGACAAACTGTGTTATGTTTGAAACAGTAAGTATTTGAAAGGACCAACCTAAAGAGACCTGAATATATAATCTCTTCAGGAACCAAATAAATATGAGTTACCCCAGGGTACCTATTCATGATAGATGTCCTCAAAGAAATATACAGCTCTTCCATCTAATAAGTTTATAATCTTATTACAGGGAAAAAGAGATAAATTTTAAAAAATATAAAAGAAGCTTATTTAATTCTAATTTTAAAATTATTTAAATAACTGAGAAATAGAAATGGTGAGGGTCAATGTTAACTGGCCTTTTAATTCAACCTAACACAATGCAGCTTAATAGTAGTCTAATGTTTCCCTCTAGGGTGGGTCTAGCCTCTATTAATGTACTTTTGAGCCATTACTACAAACCACTAATTAATGTTGCTGGTGCCAGAGACATCAAGGTGTCTGTTAGAGAGAGAAGAAAACAAAACATGATTATCTGTAAGAAAGCACGAGCAAGACAACCTCATTGGTAGACTTGGAAGGCGTTATCTATTGGGTCTATATATGCTCTTGAGGGAAAAATCGAGAAGGCTGGCAGAAACCCCTACAGAACCATAGAAAGGGTCAGAAATATGGTTCAAGGAAAAAGTAAAAAACTAGAATTCCCAAATCTGGTAAGGGAAATTAAGTTAAAAAAAAAAAAAAAAGAAAAGAAAAATTACTCAAAAATAAAGCAAACCTCTCTCCACTCCCCTGCCCCTCTTAGTTCCACATCTGGAGAAAACAAGGACAAATGAATTGATAATCACATAGTTACAGCCACTTGCAGTAAGGTAATCTCATCTAGACAGGGAACAACTTCTGTTGGCAAGTGCTAACAGAGGGCTGCCAATTCACTACAACCCTTTAGACCATAGATAACAATGGGAGAAGTATGTGTGGTTACAATTTTGGGGGTTGTTTTACTTTTAAGACAAGATTTTACTATGTAGTCTTGGCTGGCATGATAGACACAATGTTAAGCGACTACATTTAAAGTAGGGGAAGAGAGGAAAGGTTTTCTCCATTTATAAGACCCTTGTAGTGAAGTTTCAGGGCAGGGTATATAAATGCAATCTTCAGGAATATGCCCCTCAGTGACAATAAGAACCTCCCAATAGATAGTACCTAACTATCTCTGAACACTTCTACCATCTTCTAATAGCAACACCCTGTACTGAACCTCCCATTAAGAAAGACCCTTGAGTGGTACTAAGGCGAAAGAATGATCTAACAAAAGAACTCCTGGACAAAGTCAACCTTACCTCAGATTTTTGTTCACAATCTAAAATTCTTTCTGGGTATTCATAGCACATGATCTCACCCAGCACTATTCTTACATCCTGGTAGTACAACACACTCAAAGTATTCTTTTCTCTTAGATAACTAAGTCTTTGAAAAACAAACATTAAGCCATGTTTTATAAGTTTGATTGAAAGAACTGCACCAAACATTATCTAACTATATGTTCATTTAAGGTACTACAGTCATTACAAAAGAGAATAGTATGAAAATTTGAGAAACCATTACTTCCAATCTTCATGTAGAAAAATTGAGCTTTCTTTACAATATCCTACTAACATGGATCATAAATAATTATTAAAAAAGATACTAGTAACTCCTAATTTGATTAATTATGCTTCTGGTTTTATATAAGGTAAATGTGTGATTAATTAGTTCTTCATTATGTGATTTCTTTATGCAATTAGCATAAAAGTGAAATTGTTATAATTTTTGGAAAGGTCCATAGCTCAAGGTTCAGATTTTTTTAATTACTTTTGACAAGCTGCAAAAATTCATACTCATATTCATACTTCCCCTAGACAGAATATGGCATAAAAAAGAACTTCCAGAAAAGACAGCTCTATTTTGAAAGGGCTTACAATAATTTTATAGATTTTCTGTTGAAACAAATTATGCATTCTTGCTTTTCATCATCTAAAATAAAAGAGTATAATTGCTTTTCTCATTTCAAGAAAACCCTCTGAGAATTCTGTCATTTCAAACCCACTTATTAGATGCAGTTAAATAGAAGTTACTGTGAAACAAGTAGGTATGTCATACAAGGCCCATTTTCCAAAGCCTCTACCTGTTTTCTCAATTCCAGAACATACTACATGCTATATAGTAACTTCTCAGTAACAAACATCATTTAGAAAGCATTATCAAACAATAAATTCATGCTTCTTAACTCAGTGCCATGCACTGAACTAAACAACAACTACCAGAAAAGATCAATTTTCATGACAATCCTATGAAGTGTTAATACTGATATTTTCAGTTTGCAAACAGAAGAGGAAACCGGGGCTTAACAAAGGTGGTCATACATTTTTCTGTGGTAAAATCAGACGGCACGATGAGTAGTTGAAGGTAACCGTAATTAAGCCCAAGAGTGATGTCTCTCCAAAGTGCTAGAAATTTGACTAGCTAGATGCTATAGGACTTTACAACAATGGTGGTGGCACTCCTAAATAAGAGTTACCTACTGTTTCTATGTCTAATGTAATTCATACAAATAACATTTGCAATTTATCCCTATGTTGTACAATGCTGTCTGATATGTAACATTACATGCCTTTGTCCTCCCCACTACTAAATTCCAGATGTTTCGTCAATACTTATGTCTGGTTAACTTACCCCTGCATATTTTCCTCAGATGTTCATTGATTACTGGATAAAAATACCAGGAGAAGCTGGGTGACCAGGAGAAGCTGGGTGACCAGGAGAAGCTGGGTGTGGTGGTACAAGCCTATGCTCACAACACTGAGCTAATGTAGGAAGAGTGGAGGGTTCAAAGCTAGCCTGGGCTATACAGTCTAATCCTATCACAAATAAAAAGAAGGGAGTAGAAAGAGCTGCCATTAATAGGGCATCATGTATATCAGGTACTCCACAGGTTTGCACATACTCATTTATTCTTCTAAGCTCTGAATACAAACTTTTTATTAATTCTGCAGGCATGGGCCCTCACGCTCAGAATAAAGTAACTTCATTAAAACTATAGCAAATTTTGAAGCCAACAGTCTCTTTTTTTTTTTGGATACTCTTGGGAGCCCTAATGGTATGGTGGGTAGGGTATAATTCCCATCTCTATAAAAAAAAATGTAATTCAGATAATATAAATCATAAGCAGAAATAGGGATACGTGTGCCGCAGGAGATCCATCTGTAAGGTATGAACATATACAACTATTAGAAGTGATCTGAAAATGTTTCTTTTGGGGGGAATAAGAGAGCTGTGTTATGATGTGTGCATTTTATCTGCCTTGTTTAGCATTGTCTCCAGATATTACACAATTGCTCAACATTACCATCTTTCGGCCTGTATGTCAAGATATAGATGACAGAGCAGGGTGTGCCCTGTGTGACGTGCAGGCAGCTACAGCCTCTGCAGTACAGTGCACTGGATCTGACGGGTACTGGGCTGTGCTTGACTAGAGGCGACCACTGGGATGTGTGTCAACAGCAATTGCAGGTGCTATGCATAGAGGTGGTGTTTGAGACTGGAGGAGCGGTTATGCTAGATGATTGTGGGAAATGCATATTGCATCGAAGAGGTACTGTATCTGAAAAACAGTGCGATGCACTTCACATGTGCATTTGTGTGAGCACCTGGCAATACTGAATACCAGAGGAGAACTCTGGGATTCTGTTTGTATACCGGGCCTGGTATGATGTGTGTTTTGTGTGTAATGTGTATTGAAAGAGGTGCAATCATGAAATGATTCATGCGGTGTGCTGCCAACAGACCACTGATGAAGTGGTTACGGAGTAGGGCCTCCTGGTAGTGACGTGTAGGAAATGATGAGAGCGAGGGGTGCGGGGACCCAGCTAGTTGACCTGCATGAGCTCCTGGTGTGGCCCGAGGCAATGAATGAGAGAGATGGGATTTAGAGATCAGGGGCGGCAGGTGCAAGAGGCAGAGAGGACTGTAAGCCACGCGGTGGGCGGAGGACCTGCGTGGGCCATGTGACCGCGAGCTTGGACGCGTGGAGCAGGTACTCGCTTTCTCACCACACGGGGATACTCTACCCTCCGCCCTCCGGTTCCCCGAGCGAGGACAGACCCTCCTCACCTGGTGAAGGCAAAGTACATGAGGCTGATGATAGTGAAGCTGAGCAGGGTAATGGTGTGCGGCCGGTAGAAGAAGTCTATGGTGATGTCCTCCACTTGCTGCTCGTTGATCATGCGGAAATGCATCCTGTAGTTCACATCATCCTTGCTTAGAGTCCGGCTCCCCACGCAGGACGCCATGGTCCTCCTCGCCGTCCTGCCGCCGAGGCGGAGGCCCCGGCCCGAGAAGGCTGGGACCTCAGCTGTGACCGACCTCGGCGGTAAAGCTGCCTGACTCTGGGGCCGGGTCTGGCGCCTTGCGAAGGGTGCCAGCAGAGGGGAGGGCCCGCGCGCGAGGGCGGGGTCGCGGCGCCACCATGGCGGCCCGGGGCGGGGGGAGACCGGAGCCGGCGGCGGCAGGCTCTGGCAGGGCGACATCGAGGACGCCTGCCCTCCCGCGGACACGCGGGGAGGCTCTCGGATCGGAGGCCCGCGGCGGCCGTCCGCAGGGCCTGCAGGGCCCTGGCCGGCGCTGCCCCTGCGCCCCACCCGCGGCGTTCCCCTCCGGCCCCGCCGCCGATGGTCTCGCCCGCTGGGAGCGCAGCCCACGTGGGCGGTGTCGCGGGGCCCGGCGCGGCGAATCGCTGGCGCGCTGGACGGCGGTGCGGCGTGACCTGGCGTGATTTGCGGCGCCGCTGCAAGGCGAGAGCGCGCGGCCGCGGCCCAGCGGGGTTGGCCGCCAGCCTGCCTGCACCCGACAGCGACCGTAAGTCCCGCCGGTTGGTGACGCGGAGAGGGGTTCGGGCTCGTCGGTGCGCCCCTGAACCTTGGGTCCCACGCCGGGGGGTTGTTTACCAGCGTTTGGCTGGGGAGGGGAGGGTGCACCGGCTTCCTGCGGAAGTTCTGTCAGGGACAACGGAACTCGGGGTTATACCGTCTTGGTTAAACGGCCTCGGAGGGCTGCTGCGCTGCCGAGAGGCCCTTTATTACGAAGTGCGCCTTTCATCTCCGAAGCTCGGGATTAGTTAGAGGTTGAGATCTTGAACCTAGAGAACCCTGTTTCCGCTTTTTTTTTTTTTTCCTGTTTCTAACAAAACTACACGGTACAGCCGAGAACTGGAATACCCTACGATGAACTTAAGAGATTTTAAGGGTTTTTTTTTTTTTTTCCCCCTCTGTCGTCTTAATGTACGCACCGCTAGGCGTTATACACGAGTACAAATCTTTACTCCATTCTAAGAGTGTTGTGTGTTCCTGCTCTTGTCTCCCACTCAACAAACTGGAACCCTCTGAGGCTGGGACGGGTGTCCAGAGGGGGTCAAAGCTCTGGTTCTCTTTCGCATAAACAGTCAATCAAAGTTCAGATAGCTTAGACAGGAAGCAGTTATGTGAGGGAAGTGAACTGGCAAGTGAAAGTGGGGGCTTAAAATTAATCTTTAGCATTCAGATCTTTGAAGGCAAATGGGATTGAACGTGAGTCTACTAGATATGGGGAGAGTTTGGCATTTGGTTTTGGACAGACTCCAGAATGAAATTGAAATTCTGGGAGTTGGTTTGAAAGTACGAGAAACCGTTTTATTGTACTGTCTGCCATTATAAAAAGTAGTTTGGAGTAGAGAGTGTAGCCCAGGTTAGACTCTAGCTGTGAGTTTTCTCCAGCACAGCACACATAAAAGCGTTATTTGGAGTATTTGAGTCTCCATCATCATGGGCTAGAATGGCATGTCCACTCTTGACATTGTCATCTACAGAGTTCACATCAAGAACCTGGCTGTCAAAAGAAAAAAAAAAGAACCTGGCTGTCAGGTTACAACCTCCATGAGGAGAAATGTCTTACAAAAGCTATGATTTTTGTGTTGAAGCACATTGTTCATAGCTGTGGATTGGACCTGCCTGCCTATGAGCTTCACTAGACATTTGTCTAGGTGCCAAAACTTAATTCCCATTTTGATGTAACTACTTTGGAGACCAGAGGAAGTTTGAAGGGAAATTTGACAGGTTTGGAAGCTCCTTTCCAACTAAAATTTAGCAAAAATTACCTATTCCACAAAGTTATTGCAAACATGTCCTTCCTTAGATCTCATCAGAAGGAAAAAGTAAGCTTTTGTGTAACTCTTAGCAAGTATCCCTGAACTACAAAGCTCCAAGGGATTAGACCTTCAAGTATTTGTTCCTATTCAGGATATAATACAAACTGAATTCCACTGTATAAGGAAACAAAGCAAAATGGCAATAATTAATTGACTGTTACATTTTTTGGTGTGTCTAGTTGATAATACTCATGGCTCACATTTATTGAGCATTTTGCATTTATTTCTTTGAGTCTGTCTCACACTTCACTAGCCTTGAACTTTGAGCTATCCTTGAACTTTGAGCAATCCTGCCTCAGGCTACTTAGTACTGGGATTATGTATGCATGACCTCACCACTCCATTCTGTTTTATATGCATTATTTTAATTAATATTTAAGTATTTTGGTCACTTTATTTTTAATGTTTTGATTTTGGAGTTGGATTGTTGCTTTGTGTGTGTGTGTGTGTGTGTGTGTGTGTTTGACAGTCAAAATACATTGTTCCTGCTTGCCTTTAACTTTCAATGCTGCATCTGTGTCCCAAGAATAGAATTACAGGATGCATTCACTACCCTTCCCTTATTTTGACCCTTTCTGTTTGGAAGCTGTTCTTCTTACTATTTTTGCAGAAGGATTTTACCAGGTTTTGTTCAAGTGTGTTTTGAAGAAATGGGTCTCAGACTCAGACAACAGTTTCACTGTTCTATTTAGCAATATTATGACTCACTTAAGATGGTGGGTTTTTTTTGTTGTTGTTGTTGTTTACTTTGTGACTCATTTATACTCGTTAAATACATTTTAATAACAGTGTTATAATGATCTGCAATGTATTTCCTAAATAGACTTCAAAACAAGTTGCAAGAACATTTCATTGATTTACTGTTACAGTTTCTTTTATAAAAGCAGATTAACAGTTGATTTGGTTCTGTTGTAATTTGAGCATTTACAAACATTTTTGTTTTAAAGTGATTCTTTGTTTTGTTTTTAAATTGTAAGGCATATCTTTATTATTCCAGTTCAGAAGTTCCTATTTTGGTTGATAGCTGAGACAAACTTCACTTGTGACTTTTTGTATATAAGAAACATTAGACTACCCCAGACATGTCTGTTTAAATCCTTTATTTTAAGAAGTAGCTTATAGCTTATTATCTTTTTTTTTTTTTTTTTTTTTTTTTGCTGTTTGAATATTGTTTTAAACATTTGAGTGAGTTGAGTTAATCTTTCTTTTTTTGATGATTGTGTTTCCTTTATAGACTAAGAAAAAAAAAAATGGCCCTGTTAGCTCAACAGATACCCAGATGGTTCAACTCAATTATACTGAGTAGCTTCATTAAAGCCGCACAAATCACCGCACACTGTGCGAGACCAGGAAAAATATTGTCAAGTGGCTTCTCAACTCAGGCTCTCTTGTCCCCTGATACTTGCTTTCTCCAGTGGGGAATTAAGATTTGCAGGACTTCCTCCTCGTGGAATAGTTTCCAGTCTGCCAACTCACATGGGCAAGAGAGTTCTGGCCAAAGCATTATGTGTCCTTCAGTGAGTAACCAGCCAGATGGAAGACCCAGTCTTGAATCAGAGCTGCCTCTTGAAGGTAATTCTGGACATTGAGAAAAGTTCCCTTTTCATGGACAGTTTTGATCACTGCTATGTATTAAGACAATACTCACCCGTTTCAAGTCCTGTTTTATGCCAGGCAAGAAAAGAAACAATATTTTGTTTATTTAGTTCTATTAAACTGTTATTTTAATAAGTTCCTAGGTTAATTTCTGTCAGATTATTTTATAACTAAGTGTGTAAAATGTTTTACACACCTTGTAAATATTTTACAGCTTTGGAAAAGGGTCGTTTTGGCATTAATTAGAATTATTTCCCATTATTAGAATTGAATTGTTATATTTCTCTTTGGGATATACAGGATTGACATATATTTAATTGTGTAATAAATTCTAAATGGGAACAGTTATGTTACACCTTAGATTTCCCTTGAATTGGTTTATAGTCAACCCTTCTCTTTTCATGCCTCTTGGAATACATTGTTATGCCACAAGTAGAATAATAACTCCTTTAGTAGCCAGTGAGGCTAAAAAGGGGAAGCAAGGAGGAGATTTCGGCAATGAATGAGAAATGAGAAAAGATAGTTACTAGAGTAAAACAATAAAAGATCATAGCCTGGGTTCCTAAATGTTACAATTTCAAATGACTTCCATACCAAATTGGATTAAAATAACAGCAGAGAATTTTGTATCATAGCACATTGGCAAAAAGGCTTGCAGATTCATAAGAACATAGAAATTCTCTTGAGAGTAATCTGAAGAGGACAGCATTGGATCAAAATGGATAAATTCGCTGGAGAGATGGCTCAGGAATTAAGAGCACTGCCTGCTCTTCCAGAGGACCTGGGTTCAATTCCCAGCACCCACATGGAAGTCTACAACTGTCTTTAACTCCAGTTCCAGGGGATCTAACACTTTCACACAGACACATGCAGGCAAAACACCAATGCAAATAAAAATAAATAAATTATTTAAAAAATGAATAAATTCAGGATATCATAATGTTAGAGTGTGAATTTGGGGTATGTAAAAGTGATACTTTTGGTCAAGTTCACAAACTACAATAAACCCTGTCTCCCAAGATGTGGTTGAAGAATCTTTAACGTTCTTACCTGTTGATGAAAAGTGAAGAGAAAGAGTTTTGTACCTTACCCAGACAAGGTGACTTATACCTGTAATCCCAGCATTTAAGAGGCTGAGGCAGGAGGATTGCCTAGGTTATATTCACTGTCTCAAAAGTGGATTGAATCTCTTGAACCTTACCCAGAATCTTCTCACCTTGGAGGAAGAGTAGTTGGTCTCTCTGGGTACTCTTAGATCTTAGGATATTTTGGGCCTTGTGGTATGGGGGTCACCACTATTAGGGCATGTTGTCTTCACACCTGCTGTAATCATCCTATCTCAGAGTGCTCAGTAGAATGCTGGGTTTACAGGTGTGGACTATTGCTCTAGGCTTAGACTTCGTAAGCATCTTCTTCTGAAATCAACACTGAAAGACACAACATAGGGAAGACTGAATATTTATGGAAATAGATTCTGGGTTTTCTTTTTAAAACTGTATGTTGCCAATTGTTGTAGGTTACTAATATTTACTATTGATTTATCTTTTAGTTAAGCAGTGGTTATTCCTAAACCAGCTGTATACTCAAATCACCACACAGAGACTGGGATTTATTTAATTAACCTAAAGCACAATGCTGGGCAATGATTATTCCATCCTAAACCTCCAAGCCTGCATAGTTTTCTCCCATTCAGATTTCCCACATTATACTTGCCTTTAGTCATATCTTAGGTCCAGTTCACCTCTCCACTTGGTTTCAAGACCTTATCTGCTCTTCCTCTGCTCCTCCCTTCCCTTTGGCCCAGGATGTTCCACCCTATTCTCTCCATTGCTCAGCATTGGGTGGTTGTTTAATTGACAAGTACAGAGAACAAATGGTGGCATGTTTATACAAACTTGAGACAGTGGATGTTTAGAATAAGCATCACAATGCAATGTTCTGATTGAAACCAGATAGTGAGGTAGAGAAATCAGCATTTGAATGAATAAGGGTACATTGTATACATTCCACAAGAATATTATACCAACAAGTGTATTTTGTTTTTAATTATGCATATGCATATGGGTGTGTGCATGTGAGTGCTGGTGCCATTGGAGCCTACAAGATGGTATTGGAGGCCCTGAAATTGGAGTTAGAGAGTTGTGAACTCTCTGATATAGGTGCTGGGATTCAATCCATAGGAGCAGTATTTGACCACTGAGCCATTTATTTATGTAGTACTTTTATATAAAAACAATTTTCCACATATACATTACAGTGCTGACTTGCTTCTCTTTTTCTTCATGATCCGCTGCAAAGGGCTGGACGACTTACCTCCACTGTCTCCATTACAGCCAGTTTCAGAGGAGGACGCTATTCAGATTGAGGCACACCCTCTGTTGCCCCTATCCTCCTTCACCCTTAGAGACTACGTGGATCATTCTGAGACTCTGCAGAAGCTAGTGCAGCTTGGTAAGTTTCTAGCCTACCTGTTAGCCCTGTTACATGACATGTTAGTCTGTTGACTCATGGTGCACTGCTTTCTGTTTGCCAGAACCCTGACCTTCCTCCTAGAGCACACTGTCCCTATCTGGATTGTCCTCTCAGCCTATACTATAACTTTCTTAATATGCTCACTAGTAGGATATCCATGAATCTAGGTAATTAAAGGCAGCCAAAGCCTTTAATTGTACATTTTCATTTGGTTCTGTCTGTAATCTAGCACCTTGAAGGTTGAACCTTCTGTCTTCCTTGAATCTAGTCCTTCTGACGTGGCCTGTCTGGCCTTTATGCTACACTGGCAGAATCTGCATAGAAGCCAGCTGGCATAAGAGCCCCTGTGTATAGGACTACCCTCCTGGGATTTAGAACAAGGAGAGAAAGCAGGAAAACAAACAAAAGAGGACCATGACTTTATTATTCAAAAACAGTGGAAAGCCATTTACAGTAACTTTTTTTAATTTAAGTTTATTAATTTTACATCACATGGGTGCGTCCTCCCTCCTCTCCTCCCAGTACTCTCTCTCCTTCCTTCCCTTCTCCCTTTCCCCCCAGAAACAGGAATCTTCCTTCCCCTATATCAACACTTCCCAGCACATCAAGTCATATCAGGACTGAGAATATCCTCATCCACTGAGGCCAGGCAAGGCAGCGCTGCCAGGGAGGTACTAATCCAAAAGTAGGCAATAGAGTCCATGTTAGAAACAGCCCCCCTCACCCCACTCCAGGGAACCCACATGAAATCCAGGCTGCACTGTGGCCACACATGCATGGGGAGTGAAATTCTGGTACCCTCCCTTGGCCCTCATTACTTAGCTTCTTTGAGTCTGTAGATTGTATTATGGTTATCCTGTACTATATGTCTAATATCTGCTTATAAGTGAGTACATACCATGTGTGTCTTTCTGGGTCTTGGTTACCTCACTTAGAATGATCTTATCTAGTTCCATCCATTTGCCTGCAAATTTCATGATTTCCTTATTTTTAATAGCTGAGGTAGTATTCCATTGTGTAAATGTACCATGGTTTCTGTATCCATTCTTCATCTGTATTCATTCATTCAAGGACGTCTAGGTTGTTTCCATTTGAAGGATGTCTAGGTTGTTTTCAGTTTCTGGCTATTACAAACAAAGCCGCTATGAGCGTAGTTGAACAAATATCCTTGCTGTATGGTAGGGCCTCTTTTAGGTATATTCCTAGGAGTGGTAAAGTTGGGTCTTGAGGCAGAACTATTCCCAATTTTCTGAGAAAGCCCAGATTGATTCCCACAGAGGTTGTACAAGTTTGCACTCCCACCAGCAGTGGAAGAGTGTTCCCCTTTCTCCACATCCTCAGCAGCATGTACTGTCTCTTGAGTTTTTGATCTTAGCCATTCTGACTGGTGTAAGATGGAATCTTAAGAGTTGTTTTGATTTGTATTTCTCTAATGACTAAGGACAAGTACTTCTCATCCATTAGATATTCCTCTTGTGAATTCTCGGTTTAGCTCTGTACCCCTGCACAGACCTCTCTCTCCACTGTTGCTGGAGGGCTGTGGCAGTCCAGTAGATGGGGGAGGGGGATTCTTAACATACTGCTCACTGATCCCTGCTGGTCTCTGGGTCCACAGAACAAGGTGGGTCTTGGAAAATGACACAGGCCCAGGAACTGGGGAAGTAGAGGACAGAAGGCCCTCTACAGTTACTTCTAAGACATGCTGTTGAAGTTATCAATTCATACAAAAGAAATGGCTAGAATATGTCCCAAAGCTCTGAGTATACTGTAAGTTAATTATAGGTCAAGACCATGTTGACCCTTCAACACCCTGAGTACCTGCTTTAGGCCGGGGAAGCTGTTCTGAAAGGGAAAATAACTTGCTCTTCTTCTTGCAGCAAATATCAGAGGTTATCTTTCATCCCTGAACTTAGTACAGAACATGTTTTAAGCTGTGTACATTCTGAGGTTCAGTAGATGTTTTAGGTATATCTACACTGTTTAATGATTAAACAAAGTTAATTAACATATCACTACATATATTTTTTGTGGATATTTAAAACATATTCTTAGTACCCCTTAGATTACAGATCTCACTAAGCATGGAAACTTTGTACGCTTCTACCAACATCTCCCCATTGTTACCTCACCTACTTCAACCACCATTTGCTTTTCTTGCTTCTGTGAGCTTGATTTATTGAGCTTCTAATGAGACATGCCTTTGTATGCAAGTCCTCCAAGTCCTGTTGAAAATGGCAGTACTTTTTTCTCTGCTTCTCCTAACTGGTATCCCATTGTTTATATGTGCAGCACATTTCCTTTAACCATTTATTAACTGATGGATGCTTAGGTTAATGAAAGGCCCTTTATTTGTATATCCTATTGGACTTCTCATTTTTACCTCCATTTTCATCTTCCAGTTATTCTCAGATAGGTATTTGTAGCCCTGACTAGCCTAGAGCCCACTGTGTACAATTGGCTGGCCTTCATCTCACAAATATTTGCCTACCTCTGGCTCCACATGCAAGGGATTACACACCTAGCCTCACATGAAGTTTCTTGAGAACATAGGTCATTTCTTACACTTTTTGGTAACATCTGGCTAACTAGGTCAAAAGCAGGAGTGAAATATTACCATATACTATCATTAATGCAGGCATAAGAACAGGCAAAGTGGCACATTTCAGAAGGTGCTTAAACTTGAAGTAATTTCTCCAACTGTTGGCCAACTAGAGGAGTAAAGTAGGCAAGGAGGGAGGCTGACAAGATGAGCAGGAAAGCAGGGAGAACACAAAGGCCTTGGGGACTTCAAAGATTTTAAGTAATTAACCAGTGTGGTCAATTTGCATTTTAGAAAGAACACTAACACTACAGAGATTTTTCAGGGCCAATAAGGCTGAAAAATAGGAAGTTACCAAGTTAGCGGCTGAAGAAATAGCTCAGTAGGTATAGTTCTTGTCTTGTAAACCTAAGGACTCGAGTTTGATCCCCAGAAGACACATTTAAAAAAAAAAAGAAAAGAAAAGGCCTGGGGTAGTGGTGGTGTGCAATTGTAATCCCAGAACTGGGTAGTGGAGAGATGAAGCTGTGGCCAATCAGCTGCAGGTCCAGGCCAAGGAAAGAAACTGGCTTAAAACAAAACAAAAGCAACTAGCCAAATGAAAAACAAATTTAAGTTATAAAAGAATTATATATATAGTTGGTAGACATTCAGCTATTCCAAGGGGTACCCTTGCTCCCAAGTATAACTGTTATTACCAGTTTGTTGAGTAGCTTTCCAGACCTTTCTCTTACAAAGTAAGTGGAAAGCTAGCCACGGATTTTTTAATTTTCTGTTATTTATATCTACTTATGTTTTTTATTTTCTATGATAGAAATGAACACATATTTAGATTATTAATCAACTCTGGAAATAAGGTACAAAAACATTTTAGTGTAATTGATCTCGTTGTACTTTAATAAATAGTATTCTTTTCCTTATTGAATTAAAATGCCCTCACTAGTATGTGATAAATTGTTTTAGTTCATTCTGGGTCAGTTTCTGATCTCTATTTGATGTGGGAATGTGGTTTGTGTAGGTGTGCACATACTCGTAATACCAATAATTTTATAGATTTGGAATTATATTTGTTTCTAAAATTGGTGAGTGAATATGATTTTTTATTATAAATACAATTATGGAAAATGTTATTTCATTGCTATTATAAGTAAAGGTATCTCTAAAAGGAGGGTTTTTGTTTTGTAGTATTGAGAATTGAACTTGTGATTTTATGTATGCTAAGCAAACTATACCATTGAACTACCTCTCTAGCCTTTTTTTAAATTTATTTATTTGTATTTTAAAATCATCTCTTCAAGTTTCACTATTGACCATGAACTCACCATGAATCCAGACATGCCTCAAACTTACAATCTTCCTGACTCAACCTACCAAGTAGCTGTCAGTGTTGATTTAGTAACTTTGTCTTTGGGGGAAAGTTTAAACACAAATGTTTTTGTCTTCCTCTCTACATTGACCTTTAATATTAAATACTATTACTGATTTTAATTTATTTCTGCAACCACTTTTATTTAAAAATACTTTTAAGTTTCCATTTGTCTATGTCATTTCTCCTTTGACTACATTATTCATCAGTAATTTTTTCTTTATGAGATTAATGGCTGAATAGGAAATATCTTCACACCATTTTTTTTCATTTGTTATAGGAGTGGATTTGTCTAAGATAGAAAAACATCCAGATGTAGCCAACCTCCTTCTAAGGCTGGATTTTGAAAAAGACATTAAGCAAATACTCCTATTTATTAAAGATGTGGGTTTAGAAGATAACCAACTGGGACCATTTCTGACAAAAAATTATGCTATTTTCTCTGAAGACCTTGAAAATCTTAAGACCAGGTAAAATTTGAAATGATTCCTACATAACTTCGGAAGTAACTTATAAAAGAATTACTTACATATGTGTAAGAACCTTTCTAGACTGCTATTCAAGGATCTACTAAGTGAACAGAAATGGTACCTTTACTTAAGGACTACTGATCTAAATAGAGTATTCAAAATAGTTGTTTTGTCAGCCATCAATTGTTATTTTCACTTTACTGTTAAGTTAGTATTGAAATATTTCACTTTAAAAACTAAATTTTTCTCTAATGTTTTTATTAACAAATAATGTAATTATCTAAGAGTATACTTACAAGTCATTCAAATTGTGAAAACGGGTCATTACTATTTTATCTTTTCTTTTTCCTGTTTAGAGATGGGGTCTCACTACAGCATCCTGACTGGCCTTGAATTCATAACCCTCTGGCTTTGGCCTTCTAAGTGCTAGAATTATAAGTGTATGACACCATGCCCAGCATTTCTAATTTTTGATGGCAGACATTTAACATTCTTTCAACAAATTGTTTAATAATAAAAACATGCTTTCCCATAAACTGAAATTTCTTTTTTTAATAGTCTAAAGAAGAAAACAGGTAGCCTTTTAATTAGAGTTGACTACAGACTGTGATCTGGCTATCCCAACAATGGCTGTCTCATGACCAAAAGGGCAAGAATGCTCTAGTTGTTTGGTCCATGAAAATGAAAGCCTCACCAGACCCAACCTGCTGCCAGAGTCCAAGAGAATTCCTGGACATTGATAGTCTTCATTATATGCTGGAATCCCAGAGAAGATGGTACTGATACCATGGAAAGAATGACAAAGCAATAGGCTAAATGAGCTGCTTGTCATCTAGAGTAAAGGCAACAGGCAAAAAAACAACAGCTTCCTTCTTCCAGGTCTTTTTATGTGTGCTACTACTAAAAGGTGTGGCCCAGATTGAAGTGGGTCTCCCCCTCCCCCCAAGTAACTCCTTTACAGGTACACTTACCAACTTGGGTTTAGTTGATTCCAGTGCAGTCAGGTTGATAACCAAGATTAGACATCACACCCTTTCTTTAAACATTTATAAACATCTTTGCATTTTAGTCAGCAAACAGCTAAAAATATGTGAAGACATTTACTGTAAGATGATGGTGATGTGGTAGACATTAGGAGTACCTGCTCTTAAATTAACACTGACTTCACCAATTGTCTCCCCTGGGTTGGTGTCTATTCTCAGACACACGGAATGGAAGCACTACTGTGTTTGGCTCATTTCCCAGATCACAACTGTCGCCCATAACTTTTGGCATCCACCTCCAGAAAAACACCTAGTCCTCTCAGTTCTACCTTGACTGTCTCTCACATCAGTTGGGCATTTCTCTGTCTCCACCTGTCATACATTGCCTTTCTTCTGTCAGTCACAATACTAGTCTCCTTCTCTTGTTTCCTAGTCACAATCCCTCCAGACCAGTGGTTCTTAACCTTCCTATGCTACGAACCATTAATATAGTTCCTTGTGGCTATTACAAATAAAGCTGCTACGAACATGGTTGAGCAAATGTCCTCAGCAATCAAAAAGGAGGAAATCATGAAATTTGCAGGCAAGTGGTGGGATCTAGAAAAGATCATTCTGAGTGAAGTATCCCAGAAGGAGAAAGACAAACTTGGTATATACTCGCTTATATAGACCTACAAGATATGATAAACATAATGAAATCTACACACCTAAAGAAGATAATCAAGAAAGTAGACACAGGCGAAGGTGATTAATCCTCATTTAGAAAGACAAATGGGATGTGCATTGAACTTATGACAGGAGTCTACCACAAAAGGCATCTGAAAGACTCTACCTAGCAGTGTGTCAAAGCAGACTCATAACCAAACCCTCGGCAGAGTGCAGGGAATCATATGAAAGAAGGGAAGTTAGTATGATATGGAAAGGATAGGAGCTCTACAAGGACCAAATATATCTGGGCACAGGGTCTTTTCTGAGACTGACACTCAACCAAGGACCATCTATGGATATAACCTAGAACTTCTGTTCGGATGTGGCCCGTGGTAGCTCAGTAACCAAGTAGTTTTCCAAAGTAAGGGGAACACGGACTATTTCTAACAGGATCTCAAGGGCAGGCTCTTTGACCCCTCCCCCCCAGGGGAGGAGCAGTCCTGTTAGGCCACAGAGGAGAACTTTGCAGCCAGCCCTGAAGATACCTGATAAAACAGGGTCAGATGAAAGGGGAGGAGGTCCTCCCCTATCAGTGGACTTGGAAAGGGGCAGGGAGGAGACCAGGGAGGGAGTGTGGGGTTGGGGAGGGAATGAGGGAGCGGGATACAGCTGGGACACAGAGTTAACAAAATGTAACTAAAAAGAAAAATAAAATAAAATAAAATAAAAAAGAAAAAAAAATATATAGTTCCTTGTGTTGCGGTGACCCCCAGCCATTAAACAATTTCATTGCTACTTCATAAATAATTTTGCTACTGTGACAAATCATAATATAAATATATAATATACAGGATATCTGATATGCGACCCCTTTGAAAGGGCCATATGGCCCTCCTGCAAAGGTATCACACCCACAGGTTGAAAACCACTGCTCTAGACTGTTCTCCACACTGGCATTGAGCTGCCCTACATTTCAGAGGGCTTGACAGTTCCTTGAGCTAATAATAGATTAATGCCATTTCTGTGAATAAGAGAAAAATAATGTGCATTTCTTATATTGAACATCTTACATAGTTAAGGCACTGGACCAAGCATCAGACTTAAAAGACTGATGCTCTCTCCTCATGGGACTCAGCACAGACTCTTACGAACTATCATGGCATAGGGAAAGAGTGATTGTAAAAACATCATACCCAGCATCCTGTCCTCAGATATACATTCCTTCACCATTGAAAAGCCACTGTGCCTCATTGTTCCCAATTTATTCCAGGAAAGCATGAATGCCAGGCAGTGGAAATCCCTTGAGAGGTTTTGCCATAATTACGTGAGGCAAAGAAAGTTTAAGTAACTTACCCGAGATTACACCCACGGTGTAGTATAAATGGCAAAGCTAGAATTCCAACAGAGTTGGCCAAGCTCCAGAGACCTGACTACTTATCGTACATAGCATCTCCTTACACTTAATTCTATGAAATAAACTTGAGTGTTAAGGAAGCAAAGTTTCTTGCTCAAGTTGTCACATGCTCTTAACAGCTAGAGAAATGTTTGAGTCTTGTAGATATATCGGTATAGACTCAAAAGGATATATAGTAAAGAACATTTCTACTGAATAGGGAAAGACAAACTTGGATTTTGGCTTCGTTAGAGAGACCCAGTCTTATTTTCTACAGTATCTATAATAGCACCAATTTTATGTACTTATTGTCAATGAAAATAATTTAGTGTGTAAAATTTTGAGTCCTTTTGTACAATTTCCAAATGAATAAACTGCATACAGACATGGCAGTGCATGTTTGTAATCCTAGCCCTTCGAAATTAAGCTCAGAGAATGAGAAGGCCCAGGACACCCTAGGCTAGGTAGTAAGGCCCTGTCTCAAAATTAAAAATTCTGACTGACAATAGATGGCTCATTAGATAAAGTGCTTGTCAGCTAAGTGTGAGGACTAGAGTATGGATCTCCAGAACCCATATAAAAGCCAGGTGCCATAGCACGTTATCTGTAATCTGCGAAGGCTTTTGCTGATATGAGAGGCAGAGATTAAAATCTCATGGAGCCCAGACCATAGCTAACCTGGCTTTACCAGGCTGTGAACAGTGAGAGACCCTGTCACAAAACAACATGGAAGGCTAGAACTGAACCGTGAGATTGTCATCTGACTTATACATGTGCAAAAGATATTTCCAGGCGTATAGTAGAATTGTTTTCTGATTTAAATTATATAAAAACTGATAAAAATTTTTAGGTGCTTCTCCTGCAAAAGTGGACTATTAACAGTATTTTTGTTAATCTTATGGGGGAGTTTTAGGATCCTTTTTTTAAAATGCTACTTTAGCACTGAGTGGACTCAGAAGTGTGCGTGTGTGTGTGTGTGTATTTTTATGTATGTATGTAAAAATAATAATTGTGAAGAGACAGGGTGGTCTCTTCCCCATACATGGGAGTGGGGGTGAAAATTATGTAAATTCAGAACTCCTATGTGTACCTAAGCCTCAAACTTTTTTTAGATGTTACCTCAGAAAGCAGCATTATATCAATAAAAAATTGTATGTATATATATTTTGCTTTATTTCTCCAGAAATGTTTATCATGTATATATGTGTTTTTCATTATTTCTCCAGAGTAGCTTATCTACAGTCAAAAAATTTCAGTAAGACAGATATTGCACGGATGGTCAAAAATGCACCATTTCTGTTGAGCTTCTCTGTGGAAAGACTAGATAACAGACTGGGATTTTTTCAGAAAGAACTTGAACTGAGTGTGAAGAAGGTAAAAGCGGGGGCTAAGGAAATGCATTACTTCTTTTAATAATCTTTAAATGTCATGTTTCTAAGTACCTGACCTGTATAGATCCTATAAATGCATGATACTTTGTGTACAAAAATGAATTAGCCTGGGAAGGCTCTATCACTATAATAGTACACCATCAACTGATTACTTAAATTTTGTTTCCATGTTGGAATTTTTCATCAAACAATGTTAAGTTGATAGATATTTCTAGTCTTCCTGTCATTTATTTCATTGGGCCATATTTTAAATTTTACCATTTTACCATTTAGCATAAATTTTAGCATTCCTTGTAATGCCTTAGTTTTTCAAACTAGTTGAAATGTACATGTATAGTGATGATAATTATTATGTTTTACCTGTAGACTAGAGATCTGGTTATTCGTCTTCCAAGGCTATTAACAGGAAGCCTGGAGCCTGTGAAAGAAAATTTAAAGGTAATATATCTTCAAGCTATGAGAAGCAAATTATTTTATGTGCTGTCTTGTTTGTTTGATCTTTAAGAATAAATACTGCTGAAAAAAAAAAAAGATATTTATCAGAAGTTATTTTTAAATGTCAGAAATGCTAGTTTATTTCAGCCAATGTTTTTGCATGCTCTACCCAGTCTACTTAAATCAATGACCTGCAGACATCAGGACCTAGGATCCTGAAGCAGTGGGGTATGAGTGGGACCTGGAAACTGCTTGTTACCTGTGTGTTTGATAGGCACTGTCTGTGCTTCCTGGCCTGTGTTCCCATTCTGTGAAAACATTTTTGACTATCATGAGATTATGTTTTGGGAGTGTTGGAGGCTGACTCAAAAAAGCTTCTGGGAAAAGGGTAGCATCCAGAACATTGTTCTGTTTGTCACCTGTGGAACTTGTCAGCTTCAGTTCTATCACCAAAAATGCCACCAGCACTTTACTGTCTTTCTTTTTAGGAGTATGATACCAATAGCAGCTCATTGGTTTGCACAGCTGCAGTAGGAGTGGAAATTGTTAGGTAAAGCCTGTTCTCTGGGGTGCTGAAATGTTTGATGTTCAGTCATTCAAGTGTTAATTAACCTTCCACCTAAACACTGTCCTGAGAAGAGAGCCCCTGTTCTCCTGGCACTTAGAACCTAATGGGGTATAGTTAAAAGTGATGAGATAAATGGCTGGGGGGATGGGGGGAGCATCAGACAGTGTGAAAGCTCATGGAGAGAACCTGTGTTATTTGGATGTTTTGCTTCATTTCTATCCAGAATTTGGGCCATAAGTTTTCCATTAGAAGTATTTGACTACTCTTGGGAGCATAAGCTCAAAGAGTACCTTGAAAATCTTTTTATATTTTCCTTAAGTTACCATATAAAGTTGTGGTTTCCTATATATGTGTTATTTTGTTCTTATGCACTCCCCTCTGCTGCCCTTCCTACTTCCTTACACCCCTCCTGCTGGTGTTCTTCTTCCTCCAAGTAGGTCCCCTTCTGCCTGCATGTCAACTTGAATTCCATTGCTCTCTTTTTTTCCCCTCCCTTCCCTTTTAAGATACCTTCCACTCCATCACAGTTCCCGTTCTACTTTCATGACCTATATGCATACACATCACATTGCTATAGACAAATTTATATCTAAATTTATATCTGTAGTCTGTATATGAGAGCAATCATGTGGTATTTGACTTTGTTAGTGTGGCTTAACATAGTGATCTCCAGTACCACTCATTTTTCCTTTAATGTCATTTTTCTTCACAGATGAAATTAATTCTGTTGTATATATGTACCACACTTTCTTTACCCATTGCATCTGTTCATAGACATCTAGACAGAGTTATGCCTTTTAGCAAGGTGATTACTGCAGCAATTAAAATGTATTTGCGGGCCAGGCATGGTGGTGCATGCCTTTAATCCCAGCACTCAGGAGGCAGAGGCAGGCGGATCTCTGTGAGTTCAAGGACAGCCCAATCTACAGAGTCCAGGACAGCCAAGGTTACAGAGAGAAACCCTGTCTCGAGCCCTCCCCAAAATGGATTTACAGGTATCTGAAATATGTTCATTTAATTGTGTATTCTCCCATGAGAAGTACAGCAGGTACTCTGGTGGGTTTGATTTAGCTTGTTTTCAAGTGGCTGCCCTTACTCAGCTATGCAGTCAATAAGCTAGACAGGTTTTCTTACCCTCCAAAGACTACCCAGCTGATAATGCCTTTGTTGACTATTTTCTAGCTGGGCCTGTATCCCATTTCACTGGAACTGTGGAAAGTAGCCACAGTATTGAGATCTGGTCAGGCTGTGGATCTGTCTTCCCACATTTAAGATACCCCTTAAATGTCAGGTAGCTGCAGAGATGGCAGCAGGAGGTTGTCAGGCACACCACTGGAGCTTCAGTTTTCAGGCTTTATAGCAGTGAATAGGAGATGGCCAACTTGCTGCTGGCAACCAAGGGCAGGGTTACTTTTCCTTATGCATTTCACCATGTAGGCCTCCTGTCACCTCTACTTTTCACTGTCTGCCTCCCTCTTACCCTGAGGTTATTGCAGATTGGATTCAAGCTCACTGTCTCATGGTTGTTTGCCAAATTCAAGCATCCACTGTAGCTCAGTTTCAAACAATATATTATCTCTCAAGTTGATACAGAGTCTCTGTATACCAAAGTACAGGTGGACAAAGTGAGATTCCTGAAACAGCACTGGCCCAGGAATCATTGTCTCACCAAAACCAGCAGTGGGTTTTGAAGAGTGTATATAGGCTGTAGGCAAGTCTTGAGGATAGGAGTCTGCCTGTCATGATGGTTGTTACTAACTGAAGGTCATCTTCTCAGTCTGTTTGCACTGAAGTCTGTTTTTTCTTACTCTGACTCTTCTCCATAAGGTCACATGGGGCTTCTAGTCCAGCATCTTGTCTGGACATCCAGCACTAATTGGCCTGTGCCAGTCCATGAAAACTTCCTTTCTCCATATGTTATTCCATCTCATGGCCCCTCTCCCCTCTAGGCCTCTTAAGTTTTAGAAGAATCAGTTTGTCCTCCAGCATAATACCAGAAGCCCATTTTTACTCATGACACTCATGAAATTTACTTTCTTGTAGGTTTATCGACTTGAACTTGGTTTTAAACATAATGAAATTCAACACATGGTCACCAGAATCCCAAAGATCCTAACTGCAAACAAAAGGAAACTTACGGAGACTTTTGATTACGTACACAACGTGATGAATATTCCCCACCATATCATTGTCAAGTTCCCACAGGTACATCTTCCAGTGGTCTCAGACTGCTTCCCTTGCCCTGTACTCAGGCTGCCATGTATTTGTAGGAAGTTCACAGCTGAAGGGATCCTGAGTGAAATCAGTGATTTGTCTCTGCCCTGTAGCTTTTATCTACTCTTACCTTTACCTATTGGAATCAGGAGAAAATTCACTTCTCTTGGGCTCTTCTGCATTCAATTTGAAAATACTATTTCCTTTGTTCATGGTATAGAGATATGAAATGATACATGATGTTAGCACAACTCTCAAACTAGATTGCATTTAGTCCACTTCCTTCACATAGAGTGATGTTTATTTGCCCATCATACGCTGAGTGGCCCTTAATATAGGATGCTGCTGCCACATTATAATAAAGTATAGGAAGCCTAGAATTTTATGACTTTAGCTTATGGAATAATTGTAAGTAATCATCAGTGAAAGCGGTTGATTGTTGTCTCCTAGGTCATTAGATAATTGAGAGTAGGTTATTTGAGAATCTAACCTTGTTTTACCCAGTGAGGTCCAGTGTTCATTATAAAAATGGACATCCTGCCCTGGGCTTAACGTGTATATGAGCACTAAGATTATAGAACTCTATTGTATGTGGCTTGTAATCTAGGGTGGGAGACGGAGGTTTAAAGTAGCCTTCATAGCCAGGCACAGTGGTGCACGCCTATAATCCCAGCATTCAGAGAGGCCTGGTCTACAAAAGAGAGTACAGGATAGCCCAGGCCACACAGAGAAACCCTGTCTCAAAAAAACAAAAGCCTACAAAAATAAGCTTACATGGTAGTAGAATCTTCACCAGAGTGCTCATGGGGTAATTAATTCAGTATAGAGGAGAGAGAAAAATCATAGAAATAACAGCTATTGAGGGCTTAACTGTTTTGCATGTATGGACTCAGTTTAGTTATTCTTGCAACAACTATTCCTATTTGACAAAAAAAAAAAAAAATCAGGGATAAACTGAGATTCCTGTCTAGCACTGGCCCAGGAATGATTGTCTCACCAAAACCAGCAGTGGGTTTTGAAGAACGTATAGGCTGTAGGCAAGTCTTGAGGATAGGAGTCTGCCTGTCTTGATGGTTGTTAATAACTGAAGGTCTCAGTCTCTTTCTACTCAAGTCTGTTTTTTCTTATTCTGACTCCTCTCCTCCATGAGATCACATGGTGCTAGTTCTAGTCCAGCATCTTGTCTGGATGTCCAGCATTGATTGGCCTGTGCCAGTCCATGAAGACCTCCTTTCTCCATATGTTAGTCTGTCTCTTGACCCCCTTTCCCCCATGGGCCTCATGGCAATAAATGGAGAGACACAAGGGTTTTGACCAATGTCACACCAAGTTAGCAGTACACCTTTGGTCACTGTTCTCAAAGAAAGTTAGTTTTCAACAGTTTGTTTCTTTGTTGGGTGTGTGTATGTGTGTGTGTGTGTGTCTTTCCATGTGCACAGTGAGCATTTTGTATCCACTTGGACACTGTCAAAGAGGCATAGAAATATTTACCCTATGGAGTGCCCCACAGTGTCTGAAATACAGTCAAGAGAAGTGCTTGAGGCCACCTGGTCAGGAGCCTCAAGTCCCCATGCTGCAGGCTGTCACTGGGCCCCCCTCTTCTTGTCCTCCCTTCACCTTGGCAACAGTAGGCTCTAGGCACTCAGCCACTCATGATTCCTTTGTCAAATGGCTTTGATCTCCTAAGTCCTTGGGGATTTTAACATGAAAAGACATGCTTTTGTTATTCACATTCCCCTCCCCTGTCAGCCTCATTTTATTTTGAGTTTCATTGGGTAACAAATCTTAAAAATCAAAACAGAGAAACTTCAACATTTCACAGATGGTGAAATCCTTTTTGCTGACACATCTTGGTCTCTAATTTTGGTTCTCAAACTTTGTAGATAATCTAGAATCTAAAAAGCTTGTTAAAACAAATTTATGGATCACATCCTCAAGTTTCAGATTTTTTTTATTTCTTTATTTTTTGTTTTTTAAGTCATAATTTACCTTTTCATTTTTCTTAAAGATAGGCTCTTGCCCTATAGCCCAGGATTTCTGCCCAATAGCTCAGATTGGCTTTGGAATTCACTATGTGGTCCCGGCTGGCTAAAAACTTAATACTACTGCTTCATTTTAACAAGTTCTGTGATTGTAGGTAGACACCACTCTGCCCAATTTCATTATTTATTTATTCATTCATTCATTCATTCATTCATTTATTTTTGTGCGTTGGTGTTCTGACTGTGTATGTTTGTATGAGGATGTTGGATATCCTGGAATAGGAGTTACAGAAAGTTGTGAGCTGCAATGTGGGTGCTGAGAATTGAACCTGGGTCCTCTGAAAAAGCAGCCCATGCTCATAACTGTGGAGCCATCTCTCCAGCTCCTCTCCCCTCCGCCCCCCCCCCCCCAATTTCTTACTAATAGCATGTATGAGTGTCATGGGAATCAAACTCAGAACTTCTCTTATTGTAGACATCTTAAAACTGAGCTGTACCCTCAGCCTGTTTTATACTGTAACTTTCAACAGAAACTACAGAACTTGAGTCCTGTAATATTAATCATATTTCAATGTCACTAACTTTTTTAACTAACTTATTAAAATAGTTAACAAAGTAAATTTGTTAGTATTTCAGTGTTTTATTGTAAGTTTCTCTTTTTTTTTTCCAGGTATTTAATACAAGAGTATTTAAAATTAAGGAAAGACACTTATTTCTTGCCTACTTGGGAAAAGCGCAGTATGATCCAGCAAAACCTAATTATGTCTCTTTGGGCAAGTTTGTATCAATTCCTGATGAAGTATTCTGCAAAGAGATAGCCAAAGCTTCAGTAAACGATTTTGAGAAATTTTTAAAAACTCTTTAGTTTTTGATGAATGTTTAAATATATTCTTGTAAAGTAAATACATACATGAATAAATAATATATTTTTAAAAATAAATGCCTCAGGTTTCAATATTAAAAACATTTTTCTCCTAATTACCATTTTTCAGTAATTCTTTTGTTTGGTTGGCTTATTGGGTTATTTTAATAGAAGAATTACACCACTTTCCCCCTTTCTTTGCCTCCCTCGAGACCCTTCCACGTACCTCTTCTCCCACCCTATCCATACCCTGCTTCAAACTGATAGCCTGCTTTTATTACCACTACATTAGTTAAGTGTATATACATGTATAAATGTGCATGCACGAGTATATAAATGCAGCCTTCTGAGTCTTTTTGTGTATTTGGTCTCAGGGCTCTGCATTCTGCCTTGGCCAGTTGTCTTAGTCACTTTTCTATTGCTGTTAAGAGATACTATGACCAAGGCAATTCCTACAAAACAAAGCATTTAATTGGGGGCTTGTTTACAGTTTCAGAGTTTAGTCCATATTATCATGACAGGGATCTTCGCTGCACACAGGCAGATAGAGTGCTGGAAAAGTAGCTCAGAGTTCTACATTCTGATCTAAAGGCAGATAGGAAGAGACTGACCTAAAAGCCTACCCTAAATGATATACTTCCTCCAAAAAATTCACATTTGTGTAGGCATAAGGTTATTCTGTGATTCAAATGCTGATTTCTGTACCCACTATAACAGGTTACAATCCTTGTTCTGAGAATTTCCTGTCTCATTGTTTAAACACTGCTCACAAATTGTAACCTGACTGCCAATAAAGCAGCTTAGAGCCAATCACTGAGCAGGGGAGAGAATAGGGCTGGACTTCCTGCTAGCCAAGAGAGGCGGAAGAAAAGGGATTCAGCCACTAGGAGATGTCTAAGAGACATCAGAGAGGAGCTGGAGCAGGAGAACTCTATCTGGGATATATGCCAAGTTATCTTAGAGGGCCTAAAGTTTCAGGGGTTTTTTTTTTTGTATTGTTTTGTTTTGTTTTTTTTCTTTTTAACTCAGAAACTGCTACACCTGAGACCGCCTTGGAAATTCCCCAGACCTCTGACCAGTCCCTGTCAGCCCAGTACCCTCAGGTCAGCTGTCCCCCAGAATAGGTATTACCTCACTACCCTTGGAATTCCTCTGTCTTTCCATAGAGCCTTCCAGCTCAAGCTCTGGGAGAGCTGCCATTTTAAATAGGTGATGACCCCCGCATGCTGGAGATTTCTGCAGAATAAAATGCTCATTGCTTTTGCATACTATCTGAGTATGGGTTCTTTCTTCAGTGATTCGGGGACCCTAACATCCAGTATGAGTTGTTTCGTTGTGAAGTTTATTATTAAACAAATATAATAGAGTCTCAATTATTTGATAACTAAGTTAAGAGAGAAACTGAAAAAACACAGTTTAGCAAAAAATAACCTTAACATTTTAGGGTGCCAAGTGGGCCCAAACTTACATAGAAAGTAAAGTTACAAAGCAGTTTCTTAGTTCTGTTCATTAAGAGAGCAACCAGTTTCTAAAGCAGGAGTTTATGGCTTCCTGATTTAGGTAGAACCCCCACAGAGCAGCAAGGCCTCCAGCTGGTTGCACAAAAAGCAACCTGATATAAACCACACCAAGGCTAAGAAAAATAAATAAATAAGTGGCTCTTTAACACAAGCAAGCTTCTCAAAGCCAGACATAACTAGCCAAGGTAGGAAGCTAAATCCTCTTTAAGAACTGGCTCTTGCAGGCATGACTCCTGCAGGTCAGAGGAGCAAACATTTATGGGTGGACTAACTTCCCAGAATGGAGGAGGTATCAGGATGCAGTGTGGGAGGCAGGGAAATAAAAAGCCTGTCTCTGGAAGCAGGAGCCAAAGACAAACTGAGAAGCCACAAGCATCTAAACTGGAAAGGTCTAGAAAAGAAGCTGGATCTAAGTAAAGTTCTTAGGGAAATGTTTTGAGATTAAAGATTATTCTCTATGTTGAAAATGGAAGACAGTGACAGTGCTTCTGGATTCCATTTGAGTTTTTTTCTCTTAGCATACAAATAATTTTTCAGTGATGAAAAACTATGAGAAACAAACACAGATATATAAAAATAACCTTAACAGCACTGCCTCATTCTTCTCAAATAGTCCTTAGTAACTAAGCATTCAAATAGATGGCCTGTAGAGGCCAGGTCAATCTTATTCAAACCACTACACCAACTAATATGGAGGCTCATCACAGGGAGAGGCTAATTTTTTTTTTCCCCAGAAGTCATTAGTTTCATATAGTTATTTTTCTAGGGATGGAACTCCTCAAAAATTTTCCTTCTCCACTTTGGCATGCCCACTGCTATTACCATTCTAGTCTTGTTTATGCAGCCATTTCTAAGAGACTGTTTCACAGCAGACTTCCTAGTATTCTGGCTCTTAAATATTTCTGACCCCTCTTCCTATATGTTTTCTGAGCCAGAGATGCAGGGACTGTGAGGTAGATGTATCCAATGGGGCTGAGCTCCCCACAATCCATTGATCTCTGCATTGTATCCTTTTGTTGGTTTTCTGTGTTGGCCTCCATTTACTTGAAAGAGAGGCTTCTTTGATGAGAAATAGTAGCTACTTTTATCTGCAGGTAAAAGGATAAAATTTAGATGTAGTTAATTATGCTGGTCTAATAAAATGGTCGTATGGGAGCAGGCATGAATTCCCTTCTATTGAGCAGGTCAATTAGACAAGTAAGTCAAATTAGAAAACTATTGGTTACTGCCCCCAGGATATCCTCGCTATTACACAGTTGTTGATATCTTGCTGAGCCCATCATTTTTGTACTCGTAGGTTTTATAGCTGGGTAGGATTACTGATTATTTTCTCCCTTGACAGGTCTCACAGCACCTTCCATTATGTTGAGAACTAGTCCTTAGGGAGGAGGCTTCCCGATCAGTCTCAGCTCCATTTCTGTAAGTTCTATGTCCAAAGTATATGGTGCCTTCAGCAACAGGCTCTTTGTTCAGGCTTGTACTTTAAACTTTGAACCAATACCTCAGAAAACTAATTTTTAATTCTTTTGTCTCTCAAGACTTGCCTGGTCTGTCTATGTCTAGGAACTTCATTTTGCTTTTATGAGCAATCCACTCGGAATAGGGTAGCTTCAAGCTAGAGCAATGGCTCAGTCAGCCAAGTGCTGCTTACACAAATCTCAGTTTAATCCCAACCAGCCATGTCATAACTGAAGGCTCCAGTACACATGTAATCCCAGTGCTGGGGACATGGAGAGAGAAGGATCAGTTGGATTTGCTGGCCAGCTAGTATTGTCCAAATTGGTGAGCTCTAAATTCAGTGAGAAATCCTTTCTCAAAAGCTAAGATGAAGGATGGCTGAAGAAGACATTAAACTTGGACCTCTGGCATGCACATGCCTATACACATCATGTACACAAAAATGTACACATGTTGACACACAAACATATACAGAGGCGTACAACAAATAGGTTAGCTGTGCTGGTGTGTTGGACAATCCTAAAATTTTAAGCAATTTAAAACCATAAATGTCTGTTTCTTGAGCGTGCCTATCTTGAGACTAAAAGTGGTTTAATGGTTCAGATAGATGCATCCTGGATGTCTTCATTATGATGGGGTGTTGCCAATCTACTAAAGGGAATTGAAATATTAAAGATTACTTTTTAAAAAATGTTCTTTTATTTATTATGTATACAATGTTCTGCCTGCATATATGCCTGCAGGCCAGAAAAGGGCACCAGGTCTCATAGATGGTTATGAGACACCACTAGGAATCGAAGTCAGAACCCCTGGAAGAGCAGCCAATGCTCTTAATCTCTGAGCTATCTTCTCTAGCACCTAAAGATTACTTTTTAAAACTTGTTTTTTTGTGTGTGTGTTTTGGAGTGTGGTGTGTATGTGTGTGTGTGTGCCAAAGAATCACATATATGTCTAAAATTTAAAGAGTAAAATAATGTAATTTCTATGCCCCGAAGGAATGAAATAAAGCAATTAAAAATATTTGAGGACTTATTTTTAGTGCTGCGCGTGCATGTGTGTGTGAATGAATGTACACATACACATGTGGGTACTCAAAGAGGCCAGAAGAGGTCTTCAGATTCCCTAGAGCTGGAGTTACAGGTGTGATTAGCTGTTGACACTGGTGATTACAACTAAAACAAGGTATTCTGGAAGAGTAGCAAGTGTATGTAACCACTGAGCCATTTCCCCAACCCCCGAAAACATTTTAAACCAACAATAACAAGTAAGAGCAAACAAAAGTCCTAGGTTTACTGCTTATAAGGATGGATTTTATGACTATCTTAGATATATTATACTTAGACATGCCTTTACATATGATCTTCCTCTTTAGCTTGATGCTAAAACTTGTCAGGATGAAGAGTTTAGTGAATACCCTTTGCACAGCAATGTGCCAGTGTACAAATGTGTGTATTTATTCCTATTATTCAGACTTCATGTTGACCACTACATATACTCTTAGAGAGCTGAGTGAAAGAAAGCAGCAGAAACAGAAGAAAAGGGAAGTAGGCAACACTACTTTAGAATTTATGGCTAAAGCTATCAAATAACATTTTCAGTCTATAATGAGACAGCTTTCTGCTGTTCCAGGTCTCAGTTTAAGCCTGAAAGACAGCAGGGTAAGGACAATGTTGAATCATGGTCAGACTCAACAGTGACTATTAATTTCTCCATTTTCTGTCCTTAGTTTTATGTTTTACACTTCACCTGTTGGTGTTGAGACCTTGAAAATGAAACTATATCTTAGATTTAATATATTTTGTTTTGTTTTAGGTGAGGTCTTTCTGGGTAATCCAGAATAGTGTCAAATTCACTATGTAGACAGCTCCAGCCTTGAACTTGCAGAAATCCTTCTGCCTCAGACTACTGAATTTTGAATCATAGGCATGAGCCACTTACTCCTGTCTTAGCGTTAGTATTTTTAGATAGTTGTGGGCCACCATGTGGTTGCTGGAAATTGAACTCATGACCTCTGGTAGAGCAGCCAGTGCTCTTAACCTCTGAGCCATCTCTCCAGCCCCGCGTTAGTATTTTTAAAGCTTATCTGACCTAACTTTTTACTAAATTGGTTTGATGTGGGCTTTTAGGTGGAGAAAGTGAACTAGAAGTTTAAAGTCATCTGGAATTAGTTGTGCAACGTGGTCCTAAATATAAGGAAACTTGAATTTGAACCTGGATTTCTTAATTCTAGTAAAAACATAAATCTGGACTCTTCCCAATGTCAATGCCCTTGGATAACTTCTCTAACTTTTCTGACGCGCGGCTTCCTTCTCTCTTCAATACAGGTAACAGTAATTACACCATAGATTTAGAATTAAATGAGAATACTCTCACCCTTCTGAACCTGAAGATTCCACAACGGATTCATTCTATCACAAACTGACAGATTAGGGAAGGCTATATCTGTATTGAGCATGTATGTACATTTTACCTGTTTTATTTTTAAAATAATGCAGTATAACACCTATTGTGTAGTGTTTACTTTATATCCTGTATTAAAAGTAATCTAGAGGTAACTTAAAAAAATGCAGGAGTGTGTGTAGATTATATTAAAACACAGCACCATTTGACATACGGAATTTAAGCATCAAGGGCATCCTCTCCCCATCCGTACTGAGGAGCTGTGTGCTTGAAAATCTAACACATTATCTGTCTCCAAACAAAAGCTCCTTTAATACTGTTAAAGTTCCGTCCTGTAACAGAACCGTGAAAAACACCGTCTTCTAATTTCTCACTATTTTCTCACTGTGTCACAAAGAACGTTTCTTGCAACAAGGCGCACAAAATGACCAGCCCCAAGTGTGGACTTCACTCAGAAAGACTATAAACAAGTTCCTACCTAGGGCCGGCAGAGCTGGACCTGCGCAGGCGCACTTCGTCTCCTCCCGCCCCAGGAAAGTATGCACGACGCCTGCGCGTCAACCTGTCGCGTCCTCTAGGACTTACCCAGAAGGCAGCGCTTCACCCTCAGGTCAAAATGGCGGGCAGGCCTGCTGGTAAGTGATCCCATCCTCCTTGGTGGACATCGCGGGGCGGTTTTATTTTCCCAGCAACCTGCTCTCCTTCTGCTTTAGCTGAGTAGTCACTTTGCGTAAGGGACGTGGCGGCCCAGTCCAGCAAAAAGGACAGTTTTCTCTGAGCTTGGCACGACCAGCCCGAGGGTTGGGAGGGTGATCCTCAGCGGGAAGCAGCGGCCGAGGCTGGACAGCGGGGTCGGCCGCCCTCCGCTCCACCTGGGGCAGCTTGGGAAGCTGAAAGGTCAGCAGAAGACTGCCGCAGTGAGTGGGAGAGCATCTGAGTCTGTCCTTTTCACTAACAGAGATCGGAGCAAATACTATCTGACCCCCCCCATTCCGCTCCTGAAGCCTGTCAAATTAGAGGAGATAAAAGGTTTATAGTGAGGTTTCGGGTTAATCTTGGTGCATTTGGACCGTAAGTGGAGCTTCAAAGCTGGAAGGTCTTTTGTTTGCTATAGACACTAGAACAAAGTTTTCGTGAGTAGAATGCCAGAATATTTTCACTTACAGTAGTATCCCTCATCCTCTATTTTTTAAAAACCTACTATTTGCCCTCTGGCGGTATAATTTAGAATAGCTCTTAAAAACTCTGAACTACCCCTAGAAATTGTAAAGGCATTAATTTCATCCACTTGACAAAATTTAAAGGAACCTTACTGAATTTAAGGCATTCTGCTTCGGTTTAACACCAGAGGCGTGATTTTAACAGGTCAGAATGACTCCCTTCCGTAAGCCCGCTCCATTTTCTGCAACAGGTTTTTGACCTAGCTAATGTAATGGCGAACAAAGTAGTGCCTGGCACATTATAAGTGTTAAGTGAATATTAATCGTTATCATAATCACCGCTGTGATTATGCAGTTTAGCTTCTGAGTGTTTGCTTTTAGATCTTTTACTCTTTAATATTTATATTTGTATTTTTTGAGTTAGGGTGTCATGTAGCCCAAGCTAGCTTTGAACTCACTGTGTATTGAAGTGCCCCATGTTGACTTTGAACTTCTGATCGATCCTTTTACCTCCAAGATAAAACTGCGGCAATGGCAGGAATGCACCACCCGTATTTTATGTGATGCTGGATGGAACCCAGGGGTTTGTGGTGCATGCTAGGCAGGTACTGTACCAACTGAGTCATTAGCCCTTGACTGTTTTAATTTTCCCTTAGAAACAATTTTATACATGACTTTTAATTTCTAAGATTGGAGGAAGCTATGTAGTAATCTGTACTAAGGAATAGGAAATCAGAAGAAGGTAATTGAGAAGAGAGCTTGCTTTTCTTCCTTGGTAAGAAACTAGCCCTAGACACAATTTTAAAAGAAAGCTTAGGGGCTGAGAATATAGCTCAGTTGATAAAAAGCTTGCCTTGCCTTGAAATACAAGCACAGCCTCATTTCAATTGCCAGAACCCATGTTGTTAAGCTTGCTTTTTTTTTTTTTTTTTTTTTTTTTTTAACGTAAAGCCTGAGTTCCAGGGCAGCCAGTTACATGATGAGATCCTGCCTTAGGAGCCCTGGTCCATGCTTTCAATCCTAGTGCTCGAGAAGTGGAGACAAGTAAATCTTGGGGCTACACTAGTCTAGTGTACTTTTCAGGTTCCAAGCCAGTGAGAGATGGCCATCTCAGAAATGAAAAAGGATGACTAGGACCTAATGCTGTTCTCTAACACTCACACTTTCGCTCCCTCTGACCAATATCAGGCAATCTCCTGCTTCCTTGTTGTCTTATATCCCTCTCAGCCTTGTTCCCCAAAGAGTTGTGAGTTGTTTTTTTGTTTGTTTTTGAATAGGTTATTTTGGATGCTGGACATGAACTTTGAAAGCTGAGCCACATTCCCAGCCCCTATTTTAGTTTTTCTTTGTTTGTTTATGCAAGGCCTGGAATTAACAGTCTTAACTGCCCCTGCTTCCTGAGTGCTGAGATTACAGGCATGCCCTGTTGCATTAAGAGTTTTAACATGGAGTATCTCTCCTTATCCATGTTCAAATACTATTCCCTTGAGACCACACTATGGGAGAGAGCCAACCCTATTATGATACTCTGCTGTGCTTGCAGACAGCAGCCTAGCATAACTGTCTTCTGAGAGGCTTCATCCGGCAGCTGATGGAAACAGACTCAGAGACCCACAGCCAAACAATAGGCAGAGCACGGGGAGTCTTGTGGAACATTTTGGGGAAAGATTGAGGGAGCCAAAGGGGTCAAGGACACCACAAGAAGACCTGCAGAGTAAACCAGCCTGGGCCCATGGGAGCTCACAGAGACTGAACCACCAACCAAACAGAATGCATGGGCTGGATCTAGGCCCCCTACTCATATGTAGCAGATGCGCAGTTCGTTCTTCATGTGGGTTCCCTAAAAGCTGGAGCAAATGCTGTCTCAGACTCAATTGCCTGCCTTTAGATCCATTTCTCCTAGCGGGGCTGCCATGTCTGGTCTCAGTGGGAGAGGATGTGCTTAGTCCTGCTGGGACTTGATGTGCCAGGACAGGCTCCCATGTGGGGGCCTCCCCTCCTGAGGATGGGGGGAAGAAGGTAGGGCTGGGAGGAGAGGGAAGGGGCATTTAATCAGGATGTAAAGTGAATAAATAAATAAAAATACACCATCCCCTTGATGAACAACTGTTTGGGAGGAGGAAGGTAGGCTTCTACTGATATTTAAATAATTAGCTGATGGTATAAAAGTTTTATTCAGAAACAGTTATGTTTTAAGGATGACCAAATGAGATTTTGGAGACTTGGAGAAGACTGCCACCTAACCTAAACTCTCACAACTCTTTCTCCTTTGGGATATATATATCTGCAACCACAATTGGTAGAAATGCTTCAAGTCCTTTTCTGTCCCCTGTCCTTCAGTTTTGATGGTAGCAGGTAATGTTAGGACAGAGGATTTTGAGACCCCAAAGCGGCAAAATGTATGCCTGTGGACATTAGGCACCTTTAGTTTTGAGCTCATCATTTTCCCAATGTCATGGGTGACATGATTATCTATGTTGTATACAAAGGGATATTCCTTCTTAGGTTTATAAGAGAATTGGTTCTTTGCCTTTTGATGCATTGGTTTTTAAGTGGATTGTAGCAGCTAACAGTGTGGTAATTATAGTTGCAGCGTCAAGCAAGTGGCTGGATGGTTTTCGAAAATGGTATTATAATGCTGCAGGATTCAATAAACTGGGTGAGTATCTTTTTTTGTGGTCCTCTTCCTCTTGTTCTCCCTGAATTCAGTGCTTTTAAAGAATTCTTTTTTTTTTAATTTTATTTTTCTTTTTAGTTACATTTTGTTAACTCTGTGTCCCAGCTATATCCCGCTCCCTCATTCCCTCCCCAACCCCACATTCCCTCGCTGGTCTCTTCCCTGCCCCTTTCCACGTCCACTGATAGGGTAGGACCTCCTCCCCTTTCATTTGACCCTGTTGTATCAGGTATCTTCAGGGCTGGCTGCAAAGTCCTCCTCTGTGGCCTAACAGGACTGTTCCTCCCCTGGGGGGGAGGGGAGGTCAAAGAGCCTGCCCTTGAGATCCTGTTAGAAATAGTCCGTGTTCCACTTACTTTGGAAAACTACTTGGTTACTGAGCTACCACGGGCCACATCCGAACAGAAGTTCTAGGTTATATCCATAGATGGTCCTTGGGTGAGTGTCAGTCTCAGAAAAGACCCTGTGCCCGGATATATTTGGTCCTTGTGGAGCTCCTATCCTTTCCATATCGTACTAACTCCCCTTCTTTTGTATGATTCCCTGTACTCTGCCGAGGGTTTGGTTATGAGTCTTAGTATCTGCTTTGAAACACTGCTAGTTAGAGTCTTTCAGATGCCTTTTGCGGTAGACTCCTGTCATACGTTCAATGCACATCCCAATTGTCTTTCTAAATGAGAATTGATCATCTTCGTCCTTGTCCACTTTCTTGATTATCTTCTTTAGGTGTGTAGATTTCATTATGTTTATCATGTCTTGTAGGTCTATATAAGCGAGTATATACCATGTTTGTCTTTCTCCTTCTGGGATACTTCACTCAGAATGATCTTTTCTAGATCCCACCATTTGCCTGCAAATTTCATGATTTTCTCCTTTTTGATTGCTGAGTAGTATTCCATTGTGTAAAAATACCACAATTTCTGTATCCATTCCTCTGTTGATGGACATCTGGGTTGCTTCCAAGTTCTGGCTATTACAAATAAAGCTGCTACAAACATGGTTGAACAAATGTCCTTGTTGTGTACTTGAGCAAATTTTGGGTATATACCTAGGAGTGGTGTAGCGGGGTCTTGAGGTAGCACTACTTCTAATTGTCTGAGAAAGCTCCAGATTGACTTCCAAAGTGGTTGTACCAGTTTACATTCCCACCAGCAATGGAGTAGGGTTCCCCTTTCACCACAACCTCTCCAGCATGAGTTGTCACTTGAGTTTTTGATCTTGGCCATTCTGATGGGTGTAAGGTGAAATCTCAGGGTCGTTTTGATTTGCATTTCCCTGATGGCTAATGAGGTTGAGCATTTCTTTAAGTGTTTCTCTGCCATTTGATGTTCCTCTTTTGAGAATTCTCTGTTTAGCTCTGTTCCCCATTTTTTAATTGGATTACTTGGTTTGTTGCTTTTCTGCTTCTTTAGTTCTTTATATATACTGGATATTAGCCCTCTGTCAGATAAATGGTTGGTGAAAATTCTTTCCCAATCTGTAGGCAGTTGTTTTGTTTTGATGACGGTGTCTTTTGCAAAATCAGAAATGAAAATGGGGACATAACTACAGACACTGAGGAAATCCAAACAATTATTAGGTCATACTACAAAAGCCTATATGCCACAAAATTTGAAAATCTAAATGAAATGGATAATTTTCTTGACAGATTCCATCTACCAAAATTAAGTCAAGACCAGGTAGAAAGACTGAATAGCCCTATATCTCCCAAAGAAATTGAAGCAGTCATCAACAGTCTCCCCTCCAAAAAAAGCCCTGGGCCAGATGGCTTCAGCACAGAATTCTACAAGACCTTCAAAGAAGTGCTAACACCAATTCTCCTCAAACTATTCCACAAAATAGAAACAGAAGGAACACTACCAAACTCATTCTGTGAAGCCACAGTCACCTTGATACCTAAACCTCACAAAGATCCAACAAAAAAAAGAATTCTTATTGTTCTAAAAAGATGTTTTCTTTCGTTTTTGTGTATGTCAGATTTAAAATTAAACTATTTTATTTTTCAGTTTTTGACCTTTATGTGATTGGCATGAACTTCGCTTTGTGGTATAGAAGCTGAATGGAAGCATCAGTGATTCTTAGGGTTCCTTATTATAAATTTAAGGTCTTTTCGTCTTTAAAAAAAATTATCATTTGCGCCCTTTCTCCTGGCTGGCAGTGTAGAGGCCACACAATGCCTGGAGCTACTGTAAAAGACATTAACCAGTAGTAGTTCATCAAAGCCCTTGGCAGCCTTTCTCAGAAAGACTGGGAAGCTGAAAGTTCCCCAGTGTGTGGACACAGTCAAGCTGGCCAAACATAAAGAGCTTGCCCCCTATGACAAGAACTTGTCCACACGAGCTGCTTCCACAGCATGACACCTGAACCTCTGGTGATGCAGGGGTTGGCTGCATGACCAAGATCAGTGGAGAACAGCAGAGAGATGCTATCAAGCCCAGCCACTTCAGCTTGGAGGCTCCGTCCTCCAAGCCCTGGAGGGCCTGAAAATGGTGAAAAAGGACCAAGATGGGGGCCAGAAGTTAACTCTTCAGAGACAGAGAGATCTGGACAGGTGGCAGCTGCCAACAAGAAGCATTAGAACAAAGGATGCTGGGTCAATAAACTGCCTCATTCATAATAAAAAAAAAAAATGTCATTCGCATATATAGCAGGGTATGCTCGTAGAGTTCAGAGGAGGACTTCTGAGAGTCAATGCCACTTACTCCATGGTGTCCAGGGATCAGACTTGGCTTGTGCAATACATGCTGTCACCTCCCTCGCTCTCTCACTGTTCCTAGTTGTTTATTATCTTGATCTCAGAAGAGATGTGGTCTACATGTTTTCAAAGGCAAGATACACATTTAAAATACGTTCAGAACCAGTTCACATAAAATAGGAATTTTGTGATAGTGGTTTTAAAAGGCTTATATGTTTTTTCAAGAGATAACTTGGGTTTAAAATGCTTACTGGTGCTTTTTAAGTCAAGTCTTGAGTTATAAATCATAAAGATATTTTATTCATCATAGAACTCCTGGATGGAGGAGATGACTTAGTGAGCAGCACAGGCCTGATGACCTGAGATCATAGCCCACATAAAAGCTGACACAGTAGCCCAAGCAGCTTGTAATCCCAGTTGCTGCCTTGGGAAGATGGGAGCAGAGACAGGAATCTAGAAGCTGGTGGGCTAGTTTATGCAGGAACACAAGAGATTCTGTCTCAAGGTGAAAAGGCTAGGACTAACAGCTCAAGTTTTCCCTTTGACCTCTACATAGTGTGGAGGTACATGTGTATGCATGCACACATACATGAAAAGCTCCTACCAAATATAGTAAGTTACATAATAGCTGTGAGGAGACAGAGGCATAAAGAGTCATTTCAATGCAAATATGAGTCTGAGGCTGGGTAGGGAGGAACAAATAATTCTATGGGTTCAAGGCTAGCCATTGCTACATAGTAAGATTGTCTAAAAGAACAAACAAAAACCTTTTTTTTGCAATCCTTTAATCTGATTCTTCTGTTCCTCTTGCAGGGTTAATGCGAGATGATACAATGTATGAAAGTGAAGATGTAAAAGAAGCCATAAGAAGGCTTCCTGAGGACCTTTATAATGACAGAATGTTTCGCATTAAGAGAGCCCTGGACCTAACTATGAGGCATCAGATCTTGCCTAAGGAGCAATGGACAAAATATGAGGAGGTAGAGCAGATTTGATATGTCTAGCAGTGTTGGTCACTCAAGATGCAGTATCCGAAACAGGAGAAACACGCTTATTTGTGCAATGCATTAGTGTTCTCCAAGTTATGCCGCATTTTAATACCCAAATGAAGTTAGCAGAAAACTGTCAACTCTATTTTAAAGAACAAGGTGAAACTTAGAGCTGAAGTGACTTCTGAAATCACTAAGCTAGTCTCTAGTATGGAAGTTTTGGGCTAGAATTGAGATTTTCTATCTCTTGAGCCATTGTTGCTTTCCCTCTGCTTCCTGTTCTAATAAAAAGTTAATTATTTATATAAGGTAATTACATATATGTGTAATTACATATATGTGTAAATAAGTTAATTATACATAGTTTACATATAATTCATATCTTACATGAAGTGTACTGAGTGATCTAGCTTTTAGCCTGGACATCTATCCTCAAAGGTCACTGAAACCAGGTAAGCCTGTAGGCCTTGTACCTGGTACTCTTTCTCCTGATCTACTCACTACATGGTTGTTGTGAGGTTTTACATTTCAAAAAGCACATAGTTCCTGGAAGTTCAGATAATATTTTCTTATGTTTGAAGCAGACAATAATTCATTTTGATGAATTTCATTGGAGGTTTAAGACCAATTCTTTTCTTCTTCATTCTTTAGGACAAATTCTACCTTGAACCCTATCTGAAAGAGGTTATTCGGGAACGAAAAGAGAGAGAAGAATGGGCAAAGAAGTGATCTTGTCATTGAGATATGTGGGTATGCCTGGTCTCAGCATGTTTTTATGACATTATTTCAACTTGAATCACAATTTAAGAATTATTGGCTCTCCAGATGCCTCACTTTAAATAAATATCTACTGTAAACATTGTTGGTGAGTTTGAATTCAATGAAAACTTACTCTGATAATTATTGTAATCACTTCTGACACAGTTTTTTTCTAAGATATTTTTAGTTGCTGCTTAACTGGAGATGAAGGCAGCTGCTTTAATCTTCTCTTCATTGGCTAGATAACTAGCCAGCTTACTGAAGAATACAGCATTTTATACAAGCTGAATAGTAAGCTTTAGAGTCCCTTTGTGGGCTAGTGAGACACAGGGAAGTCATAGCAAGGCCTATACAGATGGGAGATGAGGGAAGAGGAAATCAACACTGGACAGAAGGGTCATTGGCTTCCAAAGTGACTGATGGAAGGAAGGAAAAGTTTACCCCAGGACTTGGGACACAGCCTTTAGGAAAACTCCTCTCTAACTATTTTTCATATTGCCATTTAGGAAAAGTATATATCCCAATCTGGGCTTATATAACTTCTGTATAGGTCAATATATAGATTAGAAAATTCAAAATAATCCAAACAAGCATTAGGAAGACAATAGAGAAAAACACAAAGACAAATTACACTTATGTTTCTTTAAGAGGTAGGCATAGTGTGCATGCCTTTAATCCTAGCATGTGGCGATCCCTGCCAGCTTCACAGGAGGTAGGGGGAAATAATCCACCAAGAGACAAGAATGAGGCTCAGTCCAATTTTTTGTAACCACTGCTAGATCAAGACTTATGGAGTTTGGCACAGATCATTTTTCTTTAGCCATATTTGAGCACAGCACAATTTGGAAAAAAGTTTTCAGATACCAATTAACTCAGTCCCAAGTATATAACAATTTAAGACATGTTTACATTGAGATTCTTCATACAGTATATCTGGCTTCTTTCACAAGAATGGGCACTGCTGACTCAGAGATAGTGCCCAACATTTAGGGTCTAGGGAGCTTGACTTAGGTAAACATGACACCCGTGGATGTCAGAATTTCCTTGGCCCTAAGATAACAGAAGTGACTTCAGTTGTTGAAAAGGACAAGTGACATCACTCATAAGGATGGGTTTTGTGGCCTAAAAACAGTGCTCAAGACTTAAGGGAAAGAATCTGGGATAAAAATGGATTCTGGGAGATAGGGCAGAGCCCATCTCATCAGACAGCCAAGGATCACCAGGTTGTAAAGCATCATTCCTGGCATTCCAGGAAGAGCAGCTGTGCACCTCATTCCAGTGAAGAGGTGAGCAGTGTGTATAACTTTTCTGGATTCTCCAGTGCTTATCTGTGTGCACAAGGCCTTTTTTTGCCCTCTATATCAGCACTCAGGAGACAAGCCAGCTTGGTCTGTATAGTTCCCAAGGCTACATCAAGACCCTGTCTCAAAAACACTGAAAAGGAAAGCAACAAAAACCCAGCTAGCTACTAAAGAGTTTCAGATTATAGATTAACTTAAAAATACAAAATCCTCCTGGGAATTGTGAGGTTCTTTGGAGTTAAGCACTAGAACTGTAGGCAGAGCAGGAGGAGGAATAACTGCTTTATACCTAAGCAGGAGTTTCTGATAACGATCTCCAGAAATGAGATACAATAGAAACAATGTTTTCTAATACATTTAAAGTTACAAAACAATCAAAATGCACAGATGCATAGATACATTCCTTTGACACAAAGATTTTTGGTTTTTTTTTGTTTGTTTGTTTGTTTTTTACAGTATGATGCTAACATGTAAAGGTAACTTTTATTTGCTTGAGGTAATTGTCTCCAAGACTTACTGCCGCCATCTGCTAATATTAGGCCTTGTCCTAGAAGCTTCTAGCCTCCATAACAATCTAATCTAGGCCTAGAATGTTTTCAGCTTCTGAGACTTACTGCTGAATAGGCTCACCCTTTCTAGTTCTTTTTGAATTCTTGCTGACCGGTTCAACTCAGCTGTTCTGGCCCAAACTCTCCCAGTTGACCTACTCAACCTGGCTTCTCTCGGCTTCTCAGCTCCTGATCAAATTCCCCTGCTTGGCCTCAAACTAACTCCAGCAATGTGTTCCAATCCTCTGGCTCCTTATTTTCTGGCTCATTCTGTCTTCACCTGTATCTGGCTTGTTCTCTCTTCAACCTGTCTCTGTAAAACTGCTGCTGAATTCCACGAACTGAACAACCATGAACCCATCTCTACTGCACTGCCTCTCAACTCACTGATTTAACCAAACAGACTGAACAGCACTGACTAGAACTCAGAGATCTGTAGGTGTCTGTCTTCTGAGTGTTGTGATTAAAGGTGTGTAAGATGACGCCTGGACCTAAGCTTTTCTTTACCTAATGAGAACAGTCTAGTTACTTTACTTGGTTGGATATTACACTGTCCCACTGGGGAAGACTAACAGGGACTCCACTAGAGAGAGTGGTATAGCGACCCCATTTAGGAGGATGTCACAGGTACCTATCTGGGGATGACATTACAGTAACCCCACCTGGGAGGACATCCTGGTGACATCATTGGAAAGGATGTTATAATGATGCCACGAGGGGGGACATTATAGTGACCCCACTGCAGAGCACATCCACTAGGAAGGATGTTACAGTGACTCCACTGAGGAGAAGTTTTCACTGACCTCACTGGGGAAGACATTACAGTGAGCACATTGTTGAGGATGTTACAGTGACCCATTGTGGAGGACCTTACAGTGATGCCACTTCAGAGGATAGTACAGTTACCTCAGTGGAGAGGACGTTGGGTTTAGCCCGTAGTTGAGAATGTTATGGTGAGCCCACTGGGGAGTATGTTTGGGGATCCCACTAGGAAGGGTGTCTCAATGACCCCACTGGGGAGAACATCAGAGTGAACTACTGTGTGCCTGTTATAGAAACCCCCTGTAGATGACGGAAAACTGAACCCACTGGTGAGGACATCCCAGTGACCCCACTTGGAAGGATGTTACAGTGACCTGACTGGAAAGCACATATTACAGTGACCCCACTGGGAAAAACATAAGAGCGACACCAGTAATGAGGATTTTCCAGACACCTCACTGGAGTGGATGTTACAGTTACTGGGGAAGATGTTACAGTGACTCCACCAGGAGGAAACCGCATTTACCCCGTGGAGAGGCGGTAACTGATATCACACTGGGAAGGAATTTACAGTGACCTCACTTAGGAGGGCATTCTAGTGATCCCATTGTGGAAGATGCTAAAGTGACTCCACTAGGGAGGACTTTACAGTGGCCTCACTGTTTGGACAATAGAGTGACCATGCTGGGATGACATTACAGTGAACCCACTGGCAAGAACACTAATTACACCACTGTAGAGGATGTTACAGTGACCTCACTAGGGCAGATGTTACAGTGACTCCACTGTGGAGTGCATTAGAGTGACCCTGCTGGGAAGGACATTAATGTGACTCTACTAGAGAAGAGGTTACGGTGATCCCAGTGAGGAAGACATTACAATGACCCCTGTGGAGGAGAAAGTTCCAGTGGCACCAAGGTGGAGAAAGAAGGTACAGGGTTTCAACTGGGTAGAACTTTCCAGTGACCACACATGGGAGGGCATAAGAGTGACCTCACTATGGAGAAACTCACAGTGACCCTACTGGAGAGACTGCTACAGTTACACCTTGGGGATGAGACCAAGGAGAGCACATTAGAAAGCATATCATGGTGACCCCACCAGAAAGGACTTCACAGTGACCCTGCTGGGGAGGACATTAAAATGATCCTACTAGAACATTACAGTGACTGCACTGGAAATAATGGTACACTGACCCCAAACTTAAAATGCTCAGAGATCCTCTTGCCTCAGTTTCCTGAGTGCTGGGGTTACAAGTGTGGGATCTTATTCCTGGCTTGGTTTGGTTAATGATGCACTCTCTTATGTATTTTACACTTGTCCTGCCCTTGCTCTTTCACCAATGATGACCCTGTGTTTCTGCTCCGCCTCCACTATCTAAGTGCTGAAATTACAGGGCATGTCCCTATACTCTGTTTGGTTTTTTGTTTATTACAATTTATTCACTTTGTATCCCAGCTGTAACCTTCCCCCTCATCTCCTCCCAGTCATAGAAGCTTTGTTCATAATAACCAAAATCTAGAAACAACCCAGATGTCCCTCAATGGAGGAATGGATACAGAAATTGTGGTACATTTACACAATGGAATACTACTCAGCAATTAAAAACGGGGAAATCATGAACTTTACAGGCAAATGGATGGAACTAGAAAAGATCATCCTGAGTAAGGTAACCCAGAAGCCAAAAGACATGTATGGTATACACTCACTTATATTAGATATTAGCCATATAATGTAGGATATACATACTAAAATCTATAGCTCTAAAGTACCTAAACAAGGAGGACCCTTAGGGAAGAAGCTGAAACCTCATTCAGAAGGGCAAACAGAACAGACATCGGAAGTAAGAGAAGACAGGGAACAGGACAGGAGCCCTCCAAAGGAGGCCTCTGAAAGACTCAAAAGAGAATGCTGAGACTTATAGCTAAACTTTGGGCAGAGTTCAGGGAACTTTATGGAAGAAGGGGAGATATAGAAAGGCCTGGAGGGGACAGGAGCTCCAAAAAGAGACCAATAGAGCCTAAAAACATGGGCCCATGGAGGCCTGCAGAGACTGATACTCCAACCAAGGACCAGGCATGGAGAGAACCTAGACCCCTTGCTCAGATTCCCCATGCTCAGTTTCCAAGTAGGTTCACTAGTAAGGGTGGGTCAGGGGCTATCTTTGACATGAACTCAGTGCCTGCCTCTTTGATTACCTCTCCCTGGGGGTTGCAGCCTTGCCAGGCCAGAGAGGAATATTGAGAAACCAAAAAAATTAAAAATTAAGTGTTTGGGGTACTGAGCTAAAGAGTTTAAGACATAACTGGCCAAGCTGGCCTTGCTGCTTCTAGAAATCTGGCCAGATGCAGGGAAGAACTGACCTTGAGGTATTCCTGTCCAATCATTAGAGGTACCCTTACCAGGAAACCAGCCTGGGTGGCCTTGCCCTTGGAAATATCGCTGACAGACATAATTGCCCCTCTTCCTTAGCAATAGCCTATCAGTCCAG